CCATCTCCATCTCCATCTCCATCTCCTGCTCCCTCTCCATCTCCTTCTTCTCCTCTGCTTCTTCCTCCCCTCCTTTTTCTTCCTCTCTCACAAACTGACAGCCACCAGTTAGAGGAGAGGGGGGCTTAGGATCTCCTGGTTTCAGTATGTAATTCTTTGATCTTTGAGTTCAGAGCACATTGAAAATGGACCACAGCAATTTATTTGTTACAGTGACCATGAGCAATGAGGGGATGCTGTTGAGTACGGTGGCCTGAGAGGAAGTCTAGTCTGGGTTCTTTTTACTTTTCCCCTTCCTATAGTGTCTGATCCAGTTGGGTTGTCACTAAGTATAGGAACACAGCCCCACACCACACTGGCAGCTGCATGATGAATTCTTTTCAGACCCACCTCTCCCCATCTCCAACCCAAGACAAAACCAGGTTATTTGTGGCTGCAACAAAGTAATACATTTCAGAACAAGCCAGATGTGAAGCCAAGTTAGATTTGTACCTTCCTCCCTTCTCTTTTCCTCCCTCCTCCTTCATTCACATGCATGTGATTTCTCAATTTATGCTGAAGGGGTTCTCAGGAAAGTAGGGATTGTGTGCTTGTAATTTTTAGTAGCTTCATTGTATTTGTCTCTAGGAAACACATAGGGGTGAGCACATGCCTAGCAGTGTCTCTAGCATTAGACACTCTCATAGTAGTAGGTTTTCCATTGTGTATTCACATCTGATTCCTAAATCCAACCAACAATAGGTTTTATATTACTTCATTCATGTGCATTTGATGCTAGAACAGAACCAGAGCTGCCTGCTTAGTAGGTAAACAGTGCACCATCAGAGCCACACCCACAGTCCATTGCTCATTTCCTTAGGTATATGAGGATATCTCACTGTTTTCATTTTCATATTAATGATGAATAATGTTTAGTATCCTTTCATGAATGTGAATGCATGTGTGTGCACAAGTGTATGTGGGGACCAGGAGTCAACCTCAGGTGGCATTCTGAGGAGCCAGTTCATTTTTCTTTTGCACGTGGACTGTTGTTCTAGTACCATTTGTTGAAAGGACACTTCATGTACATTCCCACTACTTACCTATAAATCTGTTTGCTTTAGATTGTAGATGTGATAGGATGTAGGCTAAGATTTTCATACTTTCTGGATGATTCTATTATTTCTGCATCTGATATCTGGTGAGGGTCCTCCTTTCTGTGTTCTTGGACATCATAATTATGGTAAGCTTTCCTTTGGACCGTTTTGTCATATCTGATTGTTTTGCTTTGCAGTACTAAAGACTGGATCTAGTGCAGTGCACACACTACACAAGCACTCTACCACTGATCCATAAATCAGCCCTCTTTTTGTTTGTTTTTTATACTTCAAAAGTCATATTTTAGTTATTCATTTATCCTGTGTATTAGTATTTTGTCCATGAGCAACATAAATGCCTGGTATCCAGGGAGGCCAGAAGTTATCACATGCCCTGCAGCTGGAGTTGCAGGTGGTTGTGAGGTATCTGATATAGATCCTAGTAACTAAACTCGGGTCCTCTGCAAGATCAGCAGGTACTCTTAACCCTCGAGCCGAACCATCACTGTGAGCCACTGCGTGGATGCTAGGATGTGAAATCAGGTTCTTTGAAAGAGCAGCCAGTGCTCCTTACCACTGGGCCATCTCTTGCCCCACTTTGAGACCCAGTTTTACTAAGTTTTCCAGGCTTCCCTTGATATCACTGTGTTTGTAGACAGCATTGAAATTGTAATCCTCCTGCCTTCAGCATCAGAAGTAGCTAGGATCCCAGGCCATGCTCTGGACCCAACTACCTGATTATATTTACAGATGTATTATGCCAGAAGTGTATCATGCACCATAAGACTGTTATCATAATAGCATTATAAACACTATTCTGTGTTAGCGTTGCATGTGTTCTCACTGAGAGGTACCAATAATTCTTTTAATGTTTATTTACGTATGTGCCTGTTCCTGAGTGTATGTAGGTCCTCTACATGTGTGCTCTGCCTGCAGAGACCATAAGAGGGTGTCAGATCCCCTGGAGCTAACATTACAGACAGTTGTGACCCCCCCAAGCCCATATGGGTACTGAAAATCAAACCTTAGTCTTCTGCAAGAGCATTCTTAACTGCTGAGCCATCACAACAGCCCCATCAGTAGTTCTTTAGAATATTAAATCTCAGTTTGTTGTTTTCAGGTGTTATTGCAGTGGTCTTCAACCTGGGGTCAATAACTGTTTCACAGGGGTCAGCAAAGATCATAGGAATACACAGATATTTATATTTGTAAAGTAGCAAAATTGCAATTATAAAAATGCAGTGAAAGTAATATTATGGTATGAGTTTACTAAAACATGAGAAACATTAACTAATTTCATCTTTGAGACCATTGAAAAACACTGCATTATTGTTTTAATCATTCCTTCAATGAAATGAGAGTAAAAATGAACCCATACTAAAAAACTCCCTGCCCTTATTTAACACCCACAATGAACAGTATACTATGTGATAAACTAATGAACAAATGTATGTATTGAGAAGGGAATGGGATGTCTGTGTGGAAGCCAGATATTGACATCAGGTGTCTTTCTCGATTACTCTTTACCTGATTTTGGAGACTGTCTCAGTAAAGCTGGAGCTCATCAAATTTGGCTAGGCAAGGTTGTCTGAGGTCCCAGCAATCTCCATTCCTAATGCTAGGAATCCAGGGCTGTGCCATCACTACCTGCTTTTTTTGTTTCTTTACACCTATTATATCTTGACCTCCCTTTCTCCAAGTGCTCCCCACCACACACACTTCCCCTCTCCCCTATATTCACTCCTCCCTCCTTGTCCTTTAAAATAAATAAATAGATAAATAAAGAGCAAGCCTCCCAGAAATAGCAACTAAAAGCAGCATATCAAATTGCAGTAAGGCTAGGCACTCACCCTTAGATCAAGGCTGGGCGAGACAACTCCCTAGGAGGAAAATTTTCCCAAGTTTAAGCAAAAGAGTCAGAGATAGATAGCCCCTGCTCCCACTATTAGGGATCCTACAAGAAACCAAAGGTACACAACCATAACATAGAAGGAGAGGACCTAGTGCAGATCCATGTGGGTTCATGGTTGTCCCTTCAGTCTCTATGACCCTCTGTGAGCCCTGCTTAGATGATTCTGTGGGATGTGTTCTCATGGTGTCCTTGACCCATCTGGCTTCTTCAGTATTTCTTCCCTTCTCCTGTGGGATTACCCTGGCTTGACCTATTGTTTAGCTATGGTCTCTGCATCTGCACCTCTCAGTTGCTGGATGATGCCTCTGAAGACTATTAGGACATGCAGCAATCTATAGGAATAGCAGAAAAATCATTAGAAATCATTTCATTGACTTTTTCTTTTCTTTTTTCTTTTCTTGTTTTTTCTTAATTTTTTCTTTTTCTGTTTTTGTTCTTGTTTGATTTTTGTTTTTCTAGTTGTGTTTGGGTCTATTCTTGATGTCTGTGATGACCAGCCTTTGGTTCCTGGTCATCAACAGAGTGGAAGGCATGGGTTCCCTCTCATGTTATGGGCCTCAAGTTGGACCAATAATTGGTTGGCCACTTCCACAAGTTCTACACCATCACTAACACAGCAAAACTTTCAGGCAGTAGGTTGAAGGTTGTGTGACAGCATACACTACTTCTTACAAGAATGCTGAGGTCCCAACTTATGTCCCTACACTTGTAAAGCAAACACTTCAATTCAGCTCTACCATCTATCCAGCCATTTGCACCTCCCTTACCCTACCTTCTTTTGTAACTCAACTGCTGTCTGATTTTCCCCACAGATTCTGTGTCTATCTTCTTGAAGATAAAATGGCATCTTTCATTTCGGATTTTGGCCTTATCTGGTACTTGAAAGAACTAAACAAGCAGGAATTCATGAAGTTTAAGGACTTTCTCATACAGGAGATTCTGGAATTGAAGCTGAAACAGATTTCTTGGACCGAAGTGAAGAAAGCATCTCAGGAAGATCTTGCCAACTTACTTCTGAAATGTTATGGGGAGAATCAAGCATGGGATATGACCTTCAAAATCCTCCAGAAGATCAATAGGAAAGATCTCACTGAGAGGGCAAGAAGAAAGACTGCTGGTGAGTTGGCCAAAGCTGCCTTATAGAGAGTGAGGTTTCTGTCATAGTTTTGATAACTGTTTTTCATGCCCATTTACTATAGAGCCAGCAGGTGTCATGGGATGTTATTCTCCTTGAAGAAAGAGGCAGCTTCATGTTGACATGTTAGGTCTAGGATAGTGTATCATGTCCTAACCTAGATGGTTAAACTTTTGCCCAAGACATTAATAATATTCTCCTCAAATTTAAACAGAAGAATTAACTTTAGAGTGAAATGGTAGCACTGTGGATTTAGGCTAGCATCAACCAAAAACACCTGTAATAAATCATATTTATAGCCAGGAGGTGGTGGCGCACACCTTTAATCCCAGCACTTGGGAGGCAGAGGCAGGCGGATCTCTGAGTTCGAGAGTTCGAGGCTAGCCTGGTGTACAGAGTGAGTTCCAGGACAGCCAGGGCTACACACAGAGAAGCCCTGTCTTGAAAAAAACAAACAAAAAAAATCATATTTATAGGGTCTAGGAAGATGGCTCAGTTTGCAGGGTACTTGCTTTGTAAACAGGAGAATCTGACTTTATATCTCAGCAAACATATAAAAGCAAGGCATGGCAGCAATCTGGGCAGTTAGCTTGGCATGCTATATTCTATGCTAGCTGAAAAAAAATGGCTCAAAAAATTAGATGGGAAGGGGGTGCTAGAAAGATTATTCAGTGGTTAAGAACACCTGCACTTACAGAGGACCTCTGTTTAGTTTCCAGAACCTACACAGTGTAGTCCAAAGTAATCTGTAACTACAATTTCAGGGTATTCAATGCCTTCTATTCTCTAAAAGTAATATGCACATCTGGTGTACATATATGCATGTGGACTAAAGTACCTATTCACCATAATTTAAAAAAAGAATTACTTTTTAAAAGCAGAGAACAGCTGAAGAAGACACCCAATGCGAACCTCTGGTCTCCACACGCATATACACTGTACCCCTCCCCCACTCACCCTCCCACATACATATCACGTATGTATTTGAAACAGCTATGTAATACAGTGTGAAATAAAATTTCTCAGTCTTTGTTGTTACCTTAACAAGCAAAAGCTTAGAACAGAAAAGCCATGCTTCATAAACACTATGATCCTAAAAGTCACACTTTTATTTATCCTGGTATAAGATATCATGGATGCTTTAAGGCTTAATTCATTTCTTTGTCTTTGACATTCTGCTGTCTTACTATGATAAGCTTAGATGGACATTTTCTTATTTCATTTTTTTCCTAAGCTCATTATGCTGGGGATTCACTGATAATCTTAGATTTGTGGCTAGAAAATTTTCTTTACTCTTCAGTCTATATTTGTTTAAAGATTGTCTCTGTGCTGTTCTTTATATGCCACCTTGTTCTGGGATTCTAGTTGCACATATTAAATCTTTACTTCATGATCAAAATATATGAGAACAGTTAGTAACTATATTATGTGTATGTGAAAGTACCTGCATATGTGTGTATGTGCGAGGCCAGAAAAAGACATCAGATCTTCTGATACTGGACCTACGGAAGGATGGATGCTACCATGAGAATGCTTGGAGCTAAACCCAGGTCTTCTGGGTGCTTTTCACCACAGAGCCATCTCTTGAGCCTCATGTGTTAAATCTTAATATATCTCGTGTATATTTCTTTGTATCTTTCCTCTGTGCTTTAGGCTGGATTTTGTTTCTAATTATCCCTAGGCTCTTCATTCCATGTTCTTCACTTTCTCATCAGTAAGAAAAGCAACCTGTTGGCTTCTTTTGACTTTTCTTGCTTTTATTTTTTGTATGTACAAATACACACAATTGCAGATACCATAGTGGACAAGTGGAGATCAAAAAACAGCTTCTGAGAGTTAATTCTGCTTCTGTCATTTGGTTTTCAAGGACCAAACTTAGGTCTTCCGGTTTGATCACAAATGCACTTAGAACAACTTACCAGCTCCCATTCATTGATTCTTAAATTTAATTAAAACCTTTTAGGAAGATATACAATTTGATTTGATTTTCTTGAGTTTCCCCTGATTGTTGAACCTCCCTTTTATTTTTTTATTAAGCACCTTTTAAAACTTAATTGGTATACTTGACATAGAATGTGTTTCAGAATTAAGTTTGTGTGTGTGTGTTTATCATTATTCTTTGCTTGTGTGTGTGTGTGTGTGTGTCATTGTGTTTCACTTACAATATTCCCCCACTGTGATTCTTCCTTTGTGTTTTGCCCTTCCCCTAGTTCTCTTTGGCCTCCCTAAAAGTCTTTTGTTTTGTTTAATTTTATGTCATATATATGGGAGGTTGTTTACATTGAAAAATTTTAAGATTTTTTTCAAAGATTGCACATATGCATGTGTATGTGTAAGTGCAGCTCCTGCAGAAGCCACAGCTTCTGGAGCTGAGTCATAGGCAATGTGGTCCATCTAATGTGTGGGCTGGAAACCAGTCTCAGGACTTCTTCTAGTTTATCCAGTGCTTTTAACTCCTGAGACATCTCTCCAGCCCCATACTCTATATTTGTAGTGTCCGTGTGATGGTACCGGTTTTCATTAATATGTCGTCAATCTCCTGTTGATAGTGATTCGATTTTTTCATTTTTGTGCTGTCATGGAAACCATGTGTAATTACAGTCTGTTAGGTGTATGGATCCGGAATCTGGCAGGGGGTAACAGATACTCGTGTTTGAGTTTGTGGAAGCCATGCAGTATGCCACACCTGCCTTGTGTTTCTGGTGTCCTAGTACAACAGCTGTACACTATTTGGTTCAGAGTATTATCTATAAAATCCATGCTTTTGATTGAATGAATATACTTATTAATTACATAGCTAGTCAAAGTAAATAATAAATAGCAAATGAAAGAGATAAATAATAGGTAGTTACGTAGGTGGATAGATAGACTCATACATACATACATACATGCATGCATACATACATAGATAGATATATAGATAGTAAATTATCATAAAATTTTTCCATCAAAACTAATTGTAGAAATTGATTGTGGAATCCCCTTTAAGGCAGCCAACTGTAGTTCCTATGCAAAGCAGAGAGTATTCTCTGAAGTGATATTCCCAAATGAAAAAAAGCAAATAATGGTAAGAAGTTACATTGTCAAATCAGACCCTCATAACATCATAAAATTGTGCTCTCACATCAACAGAAACCATATATGGAAATTGGAGCCAGTTAGAGTTCCCAATGCAGCTGTCTCTCCATGGATGAGTTTTCCATTATTCTAGTGCCTACTTCATTTCTCACTGCAGGCCATTTTATATCATGAGGTATATAGTCATAAAATCTCCTAGAAATGGTTCATGATTTAGCTGATCTCAAGGGTGTAATATTTTTACCCTTGAGCTCTTTTATTCCTGTGCAGAGTTGGGAGTCAGCCCATTTCCAAACAATAATTCAAGGAGGCACTGGGCTTAGAAATGCTTGCTTCTGAAATGGGAAAAGGGAAAACCCCAGTTCAAATGCCAGCCTCTGAAACAGTGCATGACAGTTTAACAGTATAACGTTCCTGACACACACAGAAATGCAACTGTGCTCCAGGGCCAGTGAAAAGCTTCTTACATAAACAAGCATTGTTCTGGGTACACAGCTTGCAAACTCCTAAAATCATACATCATACAAGAGCTGAAGAAGTAACATAGTGGCTAGGGGCAGGTTCCACTCTTGCAAAAGACCTGAGTTCAGTTCCAAGCCCCCATGTCGTGTTGCTCATGGAAAGCTGTAAAGCCATTTCTGGGTATATTTAACACCTCTAACTTCCATAGGCACCCACTATCACATAAATAAAAATAAAATTAAAAAATATTAAGGGAATTAAACTATTGAAATCAGACAATATATAGGTGAATGTTTAACTTAACCTTGATATGTTGTAGATTCTTCCCATATTGGACTCACTGACTCAGGAAACCCAAAGTTATATAGAGATCATTTGAAGAAGAAGCTGACCCATGTTTTCTCCAAGGTGTTTAACGCCACTATTCAAGATTTCATTAAAGAAACACTCATTCAGGACGACTTTAATACTTTTGAGAACTTTCTCATATCAAAAGGAACTGGGAAGAAGCCACACATGGTGTTTCTAAAAGGCATGGCTGGAATTGGCAAGACACTCATGTTGAAAAATTTAATGTTGGCCTGGTCGAAAGGCCTGGTGTTTCAAAACAAATTCTCTTACACCTTCTACTTCTGCTGTCAAGATGTGAAGCAGTTGAAGACAGCTAGCCTTGCTGAACTGATCTCCAGAGAGTGGCCCAGCCCCTCAGCTCCTATAGCAGAGATACTATCCCAACCTGAGAAACTCTTATTTATCATTGACAGCTTGGAAGGGATAGAATGTGATATGTCAGAACAGGAATCTGAGCTGTGTGATAACTACACGGAGAAGCAGCCAGTGAATATACTGATGAGCAGTTTGCTCAGGAGGAAGATGCTCCCTGAATCCTCTTTCCTTATTGCCGCCACCCATGAGACTTTTGAGAAAATAGAGGACAGGATTCAGTGCACAGAAGTGAAAACAGCCACTGCATTCAATGAAGAAAGTATTAAGATATGTTTCCACAGATTGTTCCAAGATAGGAACAGAGCCCAGGAGGCCTTCAGTTTGGTGAGAAAAAATGTGCAGCTCTTTACTGTATGTCAGGCCCCTCTGGTCTGCTGGATGGTGGCTACTTGTCTAAAAAAGGAGATAGAGAAGGGAAGAAATCCAGTCTCCATCTGCAGACGTATCACCTCCCTGTATACCACTCACATCTTCAATTCATTCATTCCCCAAAGTGCCCAATATCCAAGTAAAAAAAGCCAAGACCAGCTGCAGGGCTTATGCTCTCTAGCTGCCGAGGGCATGTGGACTGACACATTTGTGTTTGGTGTGGAAGCTCTTAGGAGAAATGGGATCATGGATTCTGACATCCCAACACTATTGGACATTGGAATGCTTGGAAAGATCAGAGAGTTAGAAAATTCTTACATATTCCTCCACCCATCTGTTCAGGAGGTCTGTGCTGCCATCTTTTATCTGCTAAAGAGCCATGTGGACCACCCTAGCCAAGACGTTAAAAGTATAGAGACAGTGTTGTTTATGTTTTTAAAGAAAGTAAAAACACAGTGGATATTTTTGGGCTGTTTCATCTTTGGCCTTTTACAGAAATCAGAACAAGAAAAGCTAGAGGAGTTTTTTGGCCACCAGTTGTCCCAGAAAATACAACATAAGTTACATCAGTGCCTGAAAACCCTAAATAACAATGCAGAGCTTCAAGAACAGATAGATGGCATGAAATTGTTTTCCTGCCTGTTTGAGATGGAAGATGAAGCCTTCCTAGTGAAAGCAATAAATTGTATGCAACAAATTAACTTTGTGGCTAAGAATTATTCTGATTTTATTGTTTCTGCCTATTGCTTGAAACACTGTTCTACTCTGAAGAAAGTATCCTTTTCAACCTACAATGTCCTGAATGAAGAAGTAGACCAGAGGCATATGTGAGTCCATTCACTATCTTTCTTTTCAGTCCAATTTTCTGAATTTATCCCTGTGTATTTATGCTCTATATAGAGATTCAAAACTCACCCATACTGGTTGTCCAATGGTGAGTGGTCAGCCTAGAATCTACTTACACACAAACAACAAAAACAAACTCAACATGTTTGTGTGTGTTTGTGTGTGTGTGTGTGTGTGTATGTATATGGCTATACATATGACTATATTGTGTATGCTCATACATAAACATATACATATTCATATATATGTATGCAGAAACAAACAATAAAAAGCTATCAACTTGATTGTTGGTGGTACAGAATAGGGGGAAACTGATGTAATTCTATTTCAATGAAATGATTTTTAAAAAATTAAAAACAAAATAGAACATTTAAGGGAAAAACAAGAAATTCACCTGTTTTGACAACAGTTTCTATTTTTTGAAGATTCATTTTGATTTTGTGTGTTTGTGGCTGCATGTTATTATGCACACATGTGGAGATGGCCTCAGTGGCCAGAAGAATTCATCAGATCCCCCTGGAACTATAGTTAAATGCCAGATGTGGTTCTGGGATCCAAATTCTTAATATCAGGAGAAATATGAGCATTCTTAAATTAACCACCAAACTGTCTCCAGTCTGAGAGATGCCATCTTGAGCTCCAGACTGACTCTTTTAAAGACATGTTATTTGATCTTATTAATATTTATTTTTGTTAATTGTTTTGAGACAGGATTTCACTATGTTTTTGTGGCAAGCCTGGAATTCAGATATCCATCTGCCTGTCTCCAGAGTACAGGAATTAAAGGCATGTGCTTTCTTGCCTAGCCATTTTTGTTAGTTATTAGTTCTGCATATATATGGATTAGCAGTGATTCATTAGTTCATATAGACAGGAACCCAGAAGGTAGCTCAGTTCACAGAGTATTGCCTGATACACTGCATACATTCTGGATTTGTTCCCTAGCATCATATAAATCTAGAGTATAGTGGTGCATTATTTACTCCAAACTCTCGAGTAATGGAGGCATATCAGGAACTCAGAGTCATCTTTGTTTATATAGCAAGTACAGAGCAGGTCTAAAATACATAAGTGTATCTAAGGAATCAAACTTACCCAGGTGGGAGCTTCTCATGTTTATAACTGTGGTACTCAGGAATCTGAGGCAAGAGGTTTTCTGATAATTTTGAACAGTCTGGGCTACAGAAAAAGTGGGTTTCAGGTCAGACTGGTCTAAAGAATGACATTCTGTCTTTAAAAAACAATCAAACCACAAAAATACATGTGTATAATAATTTATTATCTCTTGACACATTTTTTTTTATCCTGATAATAGAATCTAGGGCTTCACATTTCTTGAGACATGGTTTAGCCTTCCATTCATTCTGTAATCAAGGCTACCTTAAACCTCTGATCTTTCTGTAGCAATAGAGTAAGTTAAGATGACTGTTTAAGAACCCTGGAATTTATCCTTGGACTTTCCTTCTCTTAGTTATAGTGGCCACGTTATCAAAGCAGCAGTGGTATTATCCACCATACTGTGAGCATGGAGTGGCATGGTCTATGTCCTGTGTGTGTTTGCTGCCCTTCTGAGATATGAGTATCCCACTTGGACTCTTTCTTGATCCCCTAGCCACAAACTAATTTTAAAGGTTAAGTATTGTGGGGGTATGGAAATAGCTGAGTAGCTGCACAAGCATGAGAATTTCAGTTTCATCTCCTGAGTCCACATAAATAAATAAATAAATAAATAAATAAATAAATAAATACAAACTGTGCCTAGCAGCTGGCCTTTATCCAGTAGACATTAACTGCATCTCTACATTCAAGCTATAACACCTAGAATCCCACAGACCTTGCCATTTATCTGGCTAAGAACAGCAAATATGATATGATCTTAGCTGACTACCCTTACTTAGTATGCGAGTCAGTTATCTATATTTATTTGCTGTGAATGGCTTGACTTAACTTGTTGTAAAAGAGTAGAACTTGAAAGCTCTGGCAGATCTTATCATCTGTTTCTTAATATTTTATGGGTATAAATGTTTTTGCCTACATGTGTTCATGTACATGGTATGCATACAATGCCTCTGGTGGATGGAAGAGCTGTCAGATAACCTGTGAATTGATGTTATAGATGGTTGGGAGAAACTACTTTGCTGCTGGAAACTGGCCTCTGGTCTTCTTCAAGAACAGTAAATGAGCTGGGCGGTGGTGGCACACATCTTTAATCCCAGCACTTGGGAGGCAGGGGCAGGCGGATTTCTGATTTCGAGGCCAGCCTGGTCTACAGAGTGAGTTCCAGGACAGCCAGAGCTACACAGAGAAACCCTGTCTCGAAAAACAAAAACAAAAAAAAACAAAAAAACAAACAAACAAACAAACAAAAACAGTAAATGGTCTTAACCCCTGAGCCATCACTCCATCCCCTTGAATTAACTTTCTAACAGTGGAATATATTCCTTTCCCCTCTGTCACAGGGAAAAGCTGCTCATCTGTTGGAATGATATATGCTCTGTGTTTGGAAAAAGTAAAGACATCCAAGTACTCCAAGTAAAAGACACTCATTTCAGTGAGCCAGCCATTCAAATCTTGTATGAATCTCTGAAGTGCCCCAGCTTCACCCTTAACAAACTTGTGTAAGTTAAAAGTTGACTTTGATTTAGTCATATCACCGGAATAACAGACTAGCCTTCCCAACATCCCTGAACTAACTCCATAAATGAAGGTTTATATAGTCTAAAGTGGAATCTTACTATCTTGACACCTCTAATGTCTATTGCTGACCATTCTTCACTGAGACCTGTCCCATGAATTGTACAATGATGAAAGCATGTGCAGGGCTCTGCTTTCTAGATGCCAGTAGCTTCCTCATGTGATAGCCAACCTTGCCTCAACATGTTTCTCAGAGTTCCAGGTAGAAGAGAAAAATTACCCAGTTTGAGAACCAGTGAGGTTGTACTGGGCTACAAAATTCAAGTTATGTGGTCATTATGGGATAGAGGATCTTGCCAACAACAAGAGCTTGGGCTGGATAGAAATTTATGGATTCCTTCTTTGTTCTGCAGGGCAAATAATGTGTACTTCTCTGGTGACAATCACGTGTTCTTTGAGATGATTCAGAACTGCAGTTTGCAGTACTTGGACCTCAGCTGCTCATTCCTGTCCCACAGTCAGGTGAAACTATTGGGTGATGTCTTGAACCAGGCAGAGTGCAACATAGAAAAACTTGTGTAAGTCTTTGTGTTCTCCTAGCTCGGTGACTCCTCTCAAAGGAGACATCTTAATTTTGATCCATCTTACTATGAGAAAAATGCTCTGAACTGAGCAATAATAGAAAAAATAGAATAAATCTTTTACTGGATTTAAAATTCCAGCTTATAGGCCATTGCTGTGGGAAGCCAGGGGAGCAAAAATAATTGGAAACATAGCCACATCACATGCACTATCAAGAGCAAAGAGCAGTGGATTAATGCACACATGCTAGTGCTCAACTAACTTTCCCCACTCATATATAGGTAAGGGTTCTGTTTCCTGAGGAATGGTGCCCTCCACAGTGGGCGAGACTTACCACCTCAGTTAACTTAGGAAATTGCCCATAAACATGCCCACAGGTCTTCCCTATCTAGAGAACTCATCATTGAGACTCTCTTCCTATGTGATTTTAGATTGTATCAAGATGGTATTAAAACCATTAGTGCACTTGTGTCCTTTTTGTCTACTGTTTATGTACAGACTTCCTTACTTTAGGAACTGATCCCCGCTAGTCAATGAGATGGAAGGCACTTACTGCCATCTCCACAACCTGAGTTCTATCCCAGGACCCACATGGAGAAAGGAAAGAGCCAACTTTCACAAGTTGTCCTCTTTGTTCCACATTTGCCACATTGTCTTTTGCATGCTATAGCATATGTACTTGAGCATGTGCACACAATGTAAATGAATAAATGAATTCAATTGATAATTATTTAAAACACTGGGTTGTTATGACAATTTGTTGCTCTCCCAGAGGACCACAGTTTAATCCTCAGCTGCAACTGTCTGTAACACTAGTTCCAGATGATCTTATACCTTCTGATGTCTACAGGCACATGTTATATATGTGGTTATGGACACATGCAGATAAAGCACTCCCATATTAAATGAAAAGAAGTAAGTCTAAATTAAATTTTACTCAAATTAAACTGATTATGGAATGTGAAAGTTAATTTCTAGATGGGTACATCTACTTTGGAAACCGTGGCTTCAGATCAGATTTCTTGGCTTCTGACATACCTTAGATCTCTCACTGTTAAGTGTTACGGTCTATGGTTACATGACTTCATTAGCTGAAAGATGGGTACTTCCTAAACCATTCATGCCAGGTGTTCATAGCTGAAAAGCTGAAATTCTGACTAACTGTAAGCTGGTTGAGAAACCCATGGCTATTGATCTTATCTAGGTGGATCTCAGATATTGTTGGTGGCACAAATTTCATTCCAAAGGGTGCCATGTGCTTCACATATAGTTCAATGATAGACAGGGTTGTAGTATTAGAGGCAACGATAGTGGTTCCTGGTTTTCAGCTAGTGACAGAAAGGAGGGGCAGGAATGAATACGGAGGACTGTAGTTCTTGATATGTATACTTTTATTCTGTTTTGCTGCCCTGGACACTGTTATTTTGTATGGTTCTATGATAACTATGCTTTTGTTTTTCGATGATTAAGTTTATTGAGCTGGACAGCAAGAAAAAAATTTAAAAATTAAGTAATGAGTAGCAGAAAGTAACCACAAATAGCTAGCAAATTAACATCCGATCTAAAACATCAGAAGAGTCTAAGATAGCCCAATGAGAAAGAAAACTAAAGGGGAGATCATATTAAAGACTGCCTACATCCAGCAGAAATTGACTCAGGAAACCTCACTGAAGCAGTCAGAGGAGATCCTGATCTTCTGATCTGAGATGAAGCACGATAGGGTGTATATTTTGCACCCCAAGTAAAAGAAGAAACAGCAGATAGATAATATCTGCAAATAGCATGAGTAAGAAAAGTGCTATGGATCATCCAGCAGAAATAACTGGGGAATTCTTGAAACAGCTTTGCTGGAGTTCCCCATTGAGGGTTGCAGGCAGAATAGAGCACTCTCTCCACCCATGAGTTCCTTCTTCCTTCTCTTTCATGATGCAGGCCATTATCATGTTGTGGCATAAACAATAGTAGCTTTGGTTGGTACTGGCTTAAAATTCAGCCATTCTCAAGAACACAGTGGTTTTACTCTTGGGCTATGCTGTGCGACTTTTACCTCTACCCATTATCACAGATCCAGACAGGCCAGCCCATCTCTGTACAAAGAGTGTTAAAGGACTTTTGCAATAAACATACTGGAGTCTGGGACAGGAAAGACCTCCTTACTCTCAGAGTTAAATTTCAGCAAGCTTACATAGCACATTACAACTTACTGAGGTAGCTTATGTTACATCTGGTATCTCAATGGAGTCACACACATACACACACTAATAAATAAATAAATAAATAAATAAATAAATAAATAAATAAATAAATGTAAGTTTAAAATTCATCTGGAAAGATAGGTGGGTGGGTTAAGAGCCCTTGCTCCTCAGGCAGAGAAGCATTCACATTCTGGATCACAGCTTGTAACCTAATTCTAGGGGATATAACACCCCCTTATTGTGTGTCTAGGCACCAGCCATATATTTTGATGCATACATAAACATGTAGGCAAACACTCACTTGCATTAAAAATAAATCATTTTTTGTTATTGTTTAATAAAGAACATTGCCAAGTTGTGAAAGGTCCAAAACCTTCATGTGGATAACAAGAGAAAATGCCATGAAGACAGAGAAGAATATGATGTTATCCTTTTCTTACAGGTTAGCACACTGTAAGCTTTCACCTGATGATTGCAAGATCTTTGGCTCTGTCTTGATGAGCAGCAAGACATTGAAAGTTCTTAATTTAGCATCCAACAATTTGAACCAAGGAATACCCTCATTGTGCAAGGCTTTGTGCCACCCAGACTGCATTCTGGAATACTTAATGTAAGTGGCCTTGGGAGTTACAACCTGGGGAGAACTGTGGAAATAGTATGAAACTTGCCTTTGTTTACTAGAATCTGCCAATTATGTAGCCAGGACAATGGCTCAGTAGGTAATGGTACAATCTGTGCTGACAACAGCAGCACTTAATATCTCTGTCATTGTAGAGCTAAGGACTGAGGATAGGTGGTGGGTCCTCAAACTTAAGGATTCTCCTTATTTCTGAGTTCCAGTATCAAAACAAGGCAGAGGGCAATTGGAGAAGTCATTAGCATCCTCCACCTAACAAAGGAGCACACATGAAACATACACATTGTTAGATTTCTGAGGCAGCGTAGAGATACAAGGGACAGACTAAGACACTGGAGCCTAATTTCAACAGACCAGACTGTTTATTCCACAACGGTGAAGGACAGGCCATTCCTCTGGGAAAGGGATACCTATGTGAGATGGCTGTGACTCTTGATAGGTATAATATGAGAGTATTGTTTGCACCCATAACGGGCTAGGACAGTTACTCGGTCTCTCATTCCTTGGGCTCAGAATGCCACCAAATTGTGCTCGGGGAGTTCTGCCTTCTTTCTTTCCTAGAATTGTCATAGTTTCTGTGTTGACCTGCTGACTGCTACAAGGTCTTCTGTAGAAATCCTGCCCAGAGACCATGACATTCTCTCAGACACACATAGACAAATTAAGTAGTTATAATATCTTCCCAGTGATGCAGTCCCATTGCAGAAGTTTCAAAGCACAAACCTAAGAGACATAGAAAAGCACTGGGGCCTGAAGAGATGGTTAAGTGGTTAAGAACAACCACATTGCTCTTCCAGAGAACCCATTTGTTTCCTAGTCCCAACTTAACAAATACTTGAAACTCTAGCTCTGAAGAATCAAATTTCACATGCTTCCTCACTCATATGGACAGACCCATACATATCATTCACAAATGAGCATAGTTAAAAATAAAATCTTTAAAACATGCACTCCTGTATATATGTCATGGTTGGTTTCACATCCCTATAGTTCCAACTGTGCAGGAGGATGAAACAGGAGGATTTCCAATTCAAGTTTAACCTTCAAAACAGTCTACATAAAAGTGGAAGGAGTGAACCAACTCCACAAAGCTGTTCTGCTCTCCACATGCATACTGTAATATTTACCTACACACATCATATACACACATATAGACAAAAGTAATCATTTAACTTTTTTAATTGGTTTTGAACTTAACACTTTTAGATTTTTCTTAGTTTTTTTTCTAGTCAACATGGTGGAACAGTTAGTATTTAAATTGCATTGTATATTATAAGAAGACATTTAAAACTAGTACATGGGAAGGATTGGAAAGGTTTGGACACATGCTAAACTGTACCACCCTACATAAAGCTGTTGAGTACCTGTCAGTTTTTACATCCACAGTGACTTTGTTTCCACACATACCCCTGCTACTCTTACATACCAAGGGATAAATGTGCTAAATTTCAAAAGATTGTAGAATAGACTAGAGTTTGTATAACAGGCACATGGCACTGTGTCAATAACTTGTTCTTGGAATGCAGAACGGACTCTCAACTGGGACATTAACAGAGTACAATGGCTATGAATCTGTTGACCTCATTTCATACTGAATGTGCCTCTCTTGTAACTTTGGTTAAAAAAAATGGGTAGGCTGACATGGAAGAAAATTAAGGTCTTTTAGATGTCTGCAGAGAAAGATGATTTAGAGATTTGGATGAGGCCAAGTGATTTCATATTCTGAATTCCTATATATTTCATCTTATAATGGTTAGTGTTAGCTGTCAACCTGGCACACTGGAGAATCACCTGAGAAATAAGTCTCAATGAAGGAGTGTCTAGATCAGGGAGCCAGTGGGCATGCCACTGAGGGATGGTCTTCACTATGCTAATTGGTCTGTGAAGACTGAGCCCATGGTGGGTAGTACCATTATTCTTAATTTGGGTCCTGGATTATTTAAGAGTGGAAAACATAGGCATGTATGTATGCATTCTCTGTGCCCTTGACTCTAGATATGATGTGACAAGCTATTTGAAGTTTCTGTCCTCTTGATTTCATACTGTGAGAGAGTACAGTCTGAAATAGTGAACTAAATTAGAGCTTCCCTCCCCAACATTGATTTTGTAAGGATGATTTTTATCACATCAACAAAATTGGGACTAAAGCACATACACATTGTTTTTCA